CATTGTAGTGGAGTGATGACAGAGGATACTAATTTTTACATAAATTTGCATACATTTCATATGTGTCTAGTAGCTCTTTGTAAAATGGCCATAAAAGCAGTTAATAAAAGAAACAAATACGGAAAGTAGCATACTCCCAGATCCTCAAGCCAGCAAAACAACCATGTTTTACCTGCTTCCTAAATTCTACAAATGTGGGGCCTTTTGGACCACCACTGAAAAAGTCTACCTTTGAGCCTTTCTTCCTCAAAGGTGTCCCAGATTATCATTTATGATTGAGCACACAAGGCAGGCTGACTCTGCTGGCAAAGACAATTCCGCAGATAGTCAAGCAAGTTTTATAGGTCAAACTAACTGTCAGTCAATAGAGTGATGAACATTCACTTTCAAACACTATTCAGTCCCAGATAACAATTTGTTCCTAATAATTAAAACAATACTTGGGCATGGTGCTTTTTACTAAAACCATGAGCCATTTGAGGCACCTAATTCATCTTGGAAGCTATGGCTTTGGTTAGAATTCAAAAACGCTCCAGAAAGAACATTCTATAACATTGTAACATAACACTTAAAAAATCACTTCTGTAATACTATCAAGAAAACAGCATGATCATATTCATGAAGTCACCAGGAGTTACTTGAAAGAAACTTGGTTCCCTTCAGATATGTGGATATTGTAGCAGAGCCTTCCCTACTGGCTTTCTCCAGATCTTTAGGGGGCTTCTGTATAAATATGGAAAATTTGCAATTTTGGTTTCATCGAAAAGGGCAACGGTTCAAGTTAGATTACATCATAGATCTCTTCTGAAGCTATCATTCAGGTATGGCACTTTCCTTCCTCCAGATACAGAAATCACTGTGAGGAATCAAAACCTACTCTGGCTAGTCTGAATTTAGAGCATGCAAGCCATTGTTTAAGGGATCTTGGTTTGTAATAACCACTCCAAAGTGAATCCGAAGCCCATGGATGGATGGATGGATGGATGGATGGAAGGAAGGAAGGAAGGAAGGAAGGAAGGAAGGAAGGAAGGAAGGAAGGAAGGAAGGAAGGAAGGAAATAGAGATGGGTTATGGTGGAGTAGGAGGGGAAGAGGAGGAACAGAATATCTGTTTAGTGTGCTCCTCTTGCCATACAGGGCAGGTAGGAGAATTCCTCCATTTGCTCTGTAGCATTAAACAAGTACAAGTCTGCTTCAGCTTAACTCAGTGGCAGCTGCCAGACTGAGACAAGGCACAAATTATAGACTTTGGATTGGAACTACAATGCTTTAAATTCCAAAGGGGTCAATATGTATGTCCACCTGTATGCAAGCTTTCTTAGAAAGGTTGCAAATGAAAAAAAAAGGAAATCTCCCAGTTGAAGGACTAATAAGGACAAAAGTCTGCTAATGCTATAGCATTCCTTTACTGCATGGGTGTCAAACTCGATTGTGTCACATGACATATTGTGAAGTATCACGATGTCTTTTGCCTTTGCGGAGCTGAGGTGGGCATGGCTTGCGGGTGATGTATCCGGCCTGCATCCCACCAGTTTAACACCCCTGCTTTATAGTTTATCTCCATCCACTTTTAAGAGGACATAGACCACAGACATTTTAAAATGATCATTCCCAAATCATGCCTCCCCTCCCCACCCAAAGTTTCAGCAATCTAAACCTCAGCTGTTAATGTTCTAAATTGGTTTTACCAAGCTTTTGTGGTTTGGGACTAAAAAGGTGCCAATGGGTTTTTCTTGGCATATTTTGTGCCTTGTGCAGAAAAAAAGAATGAAAAATCTTTTAAGAATGTACAAAGTGCTTGGTAGTGCATAACCTCAACCAACCAACCAGTCTTAAAGAGAAGAGATTTTCAGGATAAACACTGTAATTCCCAGACAACACATTTTATTTCCTAAATTTAGGAAAGTAATGTTTAAAGACTACACCCAAGTTAACTAGAATGGAAGATTGCAGTCAATATATTTGTGTGCCTATGGGTAGATGGATTTATTAGCTATGCTGAACATTAATAAGTGGAATTAGTGAATCTTTCCAACCAATGTAACTTTATGGGAAATTTACTGGGATTTAAAATTGATACATCAAAACAGAAAGGGGGTGGTGTGGTGGTTTAGAAAAGATGATTTTCTTCTTGACTAGAGTAAAAAAACTTATTTCTAGGATGAAGCCTGAAATATAAGGGAGAATTACTTGGTGTTGTTTCTAACCCTATAGAACAGCATTCTATTTTATTCAACAATTTTGATATTCTGACTATTATGTATGGGCTTCAGGCTATTTGGGCATCTATATTACACTGTGCTTGAGGGTTGGTAAAGAAATCTTAAGTGTAAACGGCTTGGATTGGAAGGCATTGATATAGCTATTGGAGCCTCAAAGGCTATTGACCCAAAGGTAAAGCTTCAAGTGAAATTTGTTTAAACTTTCTGAATCTTTCTCCTGTCTACTTGCATTAGTCCTGACTAGAAAGTATCAATTTTTTTTTTACAAACAGCCTTTTTTTTTGGTTAGAACTGCAAATCTCAATATCCTAGTCAATTTGGCTAATGCCTGAGGATTTTAGAAAGCAACAGATATTATATCAGCAGGTTAGGGAAGGCTAATTAAATGGAGCTTATCGGAACTTTGATAAGTATGCCTCCATAAGTTGGCTGGAAGTTCAGGTATATAATATAGAGAGATAATTTTTAAATTAGAATAATTTATTCTTGGTGCCCTTGGAGCTCATAATTTCTTTCAAAACCCATAGATTGTTTGGCCGAGATTATACTGTTAAAATCTAGCATTTATTTGCTTGATTAAGAATGCCCCAGTTCTGGAAATGCTTGGCACTGTAAATCAATTAAATCAAATATTTTGTGAAAATCTTTACCCAATATTTCTCTAATACCTCCACAATTATGACATCTGTGACACACATTAGATTTAACTGAGGTTTTCTTTAGCAAAAACATAAAATAATTTATAATGTACATTTTAATTGAACCATATATATGTCTAGGCATATAAATCAGTGCTTAAAAGTGCCATATATATATATAGTTATAGTCCAAGCAAATAAATATAGGTTTAAAGGTGCATGTAGGTCTAGAGATGAATAAACCTATCTCTATGTGTGTATCTATGATGCCCTCACTTTATTGGGCTATGGAAAAACAGTGGCATTGCTTACATAAGTTATATGTTGTTCAGTTCCTTAACCTGGGAAACAGTAATGTGCTGATCTGGTTATGATGTTCTAGTATTTGAATATGGGCTGATTGTCTTTCTACATGTTGACTCTCAATCTCCCTTTTAAACAACAACTTTCTAAAGTGCAAATATTGGGAAATTACTTATACATATTCATATATATGCCACTTATACACACAGACAGACAAGACACACTCAGACAGACAGACAGACAGACAGACAGACAGACAGACAGACACACACACACACACACACACACACTTTCTGTTTCTGCTCATCCATCCCCACCTGGAAGGTGAAGCATACTGCTACTATTGAGGGCTTCAACACCAGTTTCAACTTTTCCTGCGGAGCTTGTCAGTTCCCCAGTTCATGTAAACTTTGATGACTGTTTCACCTCCTCTGCAATTTGCATTAATCGGATCAGTAGGGAGCAGAGAACACCCACAACTGCCAAATTGCAGGGGAGTTCAGAAAAATCTCATGTGTGTCTCCCTAGCCATGAAAGCTCATTGCAGCACCGAAGAGAATTACAAAAATATAGTTGGGCTAGCAATCCCACTTGAATATTACTTATGCTATGAAATGTCAGAAAATAATGGTTATCTTTTCTATCTATCACTATATATATATATATTGTTCTGTCCCATCCCCCTTCCCAGATTTTCTAATTAAAATTAATTTTCTGGTTTTTATTTATTTATTTATTTACATACACTCATATAATTTCTTCCTCTTGCCTGACGTGCAGAAATATTTTCTCTATGTGGGTTTATGTTTAAAGCCTTAATACTCATAGTCGCTACTTCTTTTGTGTTATTGTCACTTGAAGAAATTACACATATTTTTGAAGCCTTGTACCATGATAGTGATCTTAGGAAAATCCCAACATAAGTCAATAGGAATGAGTTGTGATTGGGCATTTATGTTTGAAAGACACCCCTTTGCCCTTAGCAATTCAACAGCCAACATTTTACACTTTTTTTTCTTCTAATTTTTTTCCCCATCTTTTTCCAAAAGAGACTACAGTACAGATCATAATTTTAGACGGTTTCCATGGAGTGATTTTTAACATTCTTCTTTGCACCATTTTCCAAAGAAAGGGGTTTTCTTTAGTTGTAAAGTGACTGCCTTTCAATATGCAGCACTTTTCAGACCCTTCCAGTGGAGTTTGATCTTTTTAAAATCCCTCAAGACAACTCATTCCATCTTCAAACTCTACGTGAGCAGCATGGGATCAGTTCACCATTGTCTGCTTTCTCTCTCTCTTTGCTATTTTCCCTTTTCCGCTGGGTGCTTGCTTGGAATTGGTATGGCCTTACAGAGCAAGAGTTTGGTGGAAGCGTGATTGCAATCCTCTTCGCACATGGAATCACGAATCATTCCATTGGCTTTAGAATCTAAGCTGTTAATAGGCTAAAAAAGGTTTTGTTTTTTTTTCTTCTTCTTCTGTTTTTGCATTATAGTTAAGCATGAATATATATTTAATATATTACACTGCTTGGACTGCTGCTATAGCAATCCTAAATCTTGTTGCACTGTAAAATAGCTTGCCTTTCTTATACTCTCCCCACCTCAAGGTTTTTGTTTGAAAGCTTTCATCCCGTTGCCCACCCACCCTAGTATCCCTCAGTTTGTATAATATTTTTAAAAGTCACCCACTTTTTTTTTTAAAATAGATATTGCCACATTCTTAAATTCATGCATCACTGCATTGCTATTGCACATGGTGTGTATAGAGTAACCATTTAGCTTGCCTTCGTCACACTCATCTATCCCATTGGAACTGTGCATACAAACGCCTCCCACTCATGGCTTGTGTACATCTTCCCTTCGGACAATCTTGTAGATGATCCAGTAGAAAATGTTGAAGATGAGGAAAGCCATGGGGAAGGCAATCCGCGAGATCTTGTCTATTTTCTTGGCTCGCTGAATGAAAAGCTTGCGCATCTCCTCGGGAGACTTGGAAGGGGGCGGCACTGGGTTGGCGGTATTGTTGTTGTTGGCTCCTTTGACTGAGATGCCATCCTTGGCTTGCAGGCAGGCGGGTCCCATCCCATAAGCGGAAAAATTGAACCTGCCTTCTCCAGTGTCATCCTCCTGAAATATATTAAACATAGGGCTCTACTTAAAAATAAGATATAGGCAATGCACCCTGGCTATAAGGCTCGCTGCCAGGAATTGGGGATATGCATCAATGCTTTGGTTGTGAAGGGCAACCCTTCCTTGGAGAGAGCAGCCTTATAGATGGGTGCAGTTCAATGCACAGAGGCAAATCAGGGGATCCCTTTGGCACACAAATCCTTCTATTTCCTTAACCGGATATCCCCTGTTTTGCTTCTGCCCCTCCTCCTCCCCATCCAGACCTTCTTTACATTTGGCTTGCCCAGAAGGAGGGGGCTCCATGGAACTCTTCCAGTCAAAGTCATCTCATCAATCCTGCTATAGAGTTGCATGGACTTTAAGCAAAAAAGGCTCATTGTTTAAAAGATATCCATACGAGGGATTTGTTTAATAGTGAAAAGGTACTCCCGCCCTTCAGGATGTTCTTTGGGGTTTCTTTTTCCATGTTGTTTTCCATAAACCTAAAACTGGGCGAGGCACTTTTGGAGCAGCTAGTGAATATGCTTTTTTAAAGTTAGGAAGCAAAGGCCTGAGGCAAAGGCCCCAGGATTTGCAATTAAGAGAAAAGATGGGCAGGATCATGCATGGAAGCAGAGCTGGGATTTGAACTTTTCCCTGGGTTTTGGTGGGAAGTGTCCATAGGTGGGCATTCCTTTATTTTTTCAGAATGGAATTCAGTTTATTCTGCCTGGAAAAGTCCAGGAAAGTGGAAAGAGAGAAGAAGAGGAAGATAACTAGCAGCAAAGCGAATGGACCCAATAACAGTGACAATTGGTATACTTCTAGAAGAGCTGAAGGGCCAGGCTGGGAAGAAAAAAAAATCTATTTTTAATCATCAAGAGTTAACACTGACTTGACAGTACTTAATCAATCAAGAATATTTTAGTTGCTACACCACCTTTTTAAAAATTCCTCTTTTCCACCTCAAAACAAGAAACAGTGCCACTGTTTTTGAGTAATAACCCCAGTTGTCTATAGATACTCTCCATCATCCAGGTCATGGTTATCCCAGAGGTGCTTTTCTAAAAAGCAACTAGACTTTTTTTTTTTTTGAGGGAGGGGGCGTTCTTTGAAAATGTTTTGTTCCTCAACTAAGAACCTTCAGTTCAGAACTGAAGGTTTTTTGGATGAGAAGTGAAATATTTTCAAAGTTTTCAATTCTGAACTGAAGGTTCTTGGATGAGAAACAAAAGAAAAAAAGAATGAAGAAAGCCCAGTCGCCTTTTGGAAAAGCATTTTTGTGACACCTTCCCAATTGACATTCAGCTGCATATTGAGAGGAAATCTGGGGACTACAGGTGGTACTCCAAAGGCTTCCAAGCCTTAAATTCAGTGAATTGTAATCAGAGGAGTTCTGCGAGGATGTATGTGGGAAGGAAGGTGGAGATACCTCACTAAATACTGATTCAAGAAAAACCACACACACTCATAATAATTCCTAGGCTGTCAGGTAAACAATAACTACTATAGGAGAATAAACATGTAAATAGAACCAGATCAGAAGCTGGGAATGAGTAAGAGAGACTGTATTTAGTCCAAACAATCAGAACAATTCTGGACCATTCAAGGTTTTAATGAAGTACAGATAATGAAGATTACTTGTTAGATAGCAGATTTAGTTCTTTTCTTCCTTTTAGTAATGATTTTCTTAAGTATAAAAACCATTTGTGGATTTCTGCAATTTTTGCAAATCGCCAAAGAGACTCAAGAGTAAGGCATTGTTTTTGTTTCATGGGTAGAGTTGCTGGGAAGAAACTATTTGCTAAATCAAAATAAAAAAAAATACCCAGTGGGTTTGAATTGGGCACTGGAAGGATGCTTAATACAGAATACTGAACAACTCCAGCAATTCTTGCCTTAGATATAAGCTTCTATTTTGGGGGTGTTCAAATAGCAATAACTACATGTGGAATATATACATATCGACATTCCTGGATGAAATACAATTTTTCCAAATTGTAACTCTAGGGTATTTCAGAATAAAAAGTGTTCTGATTTCTTATTTCTTCTGGACTTTACTTCTGAGCCATACAGTCAGACTTCTATATACGGCTCTTTTCAAGCTTTTCTTTGTAGAATATCTTTTAAGAATGGCCTCACTTTTCATATTGCATACTATGGATGAGTTGTACAGCCACACATTTACAGCAAAGATGTATGAATGTTGTTCAGAACACATTGGTAGTTTGAACAAATAATGCTGTATGAAGCTTTGAATAATATAGCATTAGCTGCAAGGCATGGGGCTTACCTGAAAAAAAAACTTGTCAGTTGTCTTGGAAGCAGACAGGTTTGTGAGTCCCTAACAATATCTTGTGGGCTTCCAGTTCCTTCTGGTGCTAGCACTCCCAAGAGCCAACCAACCTCTTTTTTTAATCTACCCATTCTTTCCCTTTATACAACTTCACATCAACCTAACTCAAGGAACCATGGCTGATATTTTCATTCATTTGTTTCAATTGGCAAATGTCTGAAAAATGGGATTCAAACTGCTATTGGAGAAACAGTCAAATACTGGGACATGGACATTTGACACCCCCAAATTAAAAAAAAGTAATTTGTTATGCAGTAACAAAAGTTAAGATTCTGCAGTTGTCCCGTACTGGGTGATACAAAAGCTTTTCTGAAATATTCTCTTGGACATCTAATATTTTTGGTGCTTTTCAAAGTCTTGTTTCCATTATATTCAGGGATGGGATCTGACCGGTATAACTACAGGTTCTGTTGCTCTACGTCACGTGCGCAAATGCACTTTACGACCTGCTGAGCTGCCCGGACAGCTGAGCAGTGCTGCGTGCAAGTGCGCAACGGTGGGAAAAGCCCCATTTTCCTGCTTTTTCAACTGCAGCTGTGTCACGCAAAGTAGCTGCGGTTGAAAAAGCAGGAAATAAAGGTCAGGTAAAAGCCCGGGCAGGTGGGTGGGCCAGAACAGCAGCAGACATAGAACCGGTTCTATGCATGCTCTCTGTTTGCTGCCTCTGATTATATTGGAAGAAAATGTTATCAGTAACATTTTCTACCATGTTTTGTATTCTCCCTAACCCTATTGGTTAATAATAATGGAACTGAATTTTCAAGTACTAGGGAAAAGAAATAATAATTTTTAATATTTAAAGTAGTATTCCCTGTTTCTAGGTATGCTTTTATTGTTCTACTATTTCTCTTCTTAGGGAACTGGTGGAAAACAAGAATAGATACTGAGAAACTGAGTAAAAGAAAAATTATAGCAGGAATCCTATCCTCCTGAACCCCACACAATTCTGGGAAACTTTTAAGTACTTTAATAACTCTATAATATATATATTCCTTTGAACTATTTCCATACAAGGATACTATGTATGTACTCCTTAATCAAGTTTAGGGTAAAAGGAAGTCAGGAGTTCATCCAACTATTATTTCTTCAATTTTGTTATCAGTCTAGGAAGAAATATTCCAATTTATTAAATGGCCATATTTAGATTACAGTGACACAGAAAAATGTAGGTTATCAAATTATGGAGTGACTTTTGCCATTTTAATTTATGAGGGAGATGAGGTGGTGAAAATTACCACATACTGAAAAAAATGAAGTGGGGAGTTAAGAAAAGGGAGGGGATGGGACTTGGCACTTCCTCACCTTCATACCATTTAAAATAAAACCAATCCACCATCACCCAAGACTAGGCACGCACGCCCCCAACTACCTCAATTCAAGCTACAACTGGCCTTAAATGCAAGCTACTCAATGCAAGAAGCCTTATAAATAAAATACCTGAATTTCTCCTCTTACTAAATACGGCTAAATTCGACATCATATTTGTCTGTGAAACATGGCTCAACGCATCTCTCCCTGACTCCATTACCTCAGTAAGAGACGATCATGTTTACTGATCCTATCATGAAATCCGTAGAGTAGGTGGTGCTGCTATCTTCTATAAAAAGTCCCTACATCTAAAAAACATCCAAGTTACCCAAGAGCTTGCTCTTCCTGAGACCATTATCTGTGAACTGACCTTAAATATTCCATTTCGGTTCTTACTATGTTACAGAGCCCCTGATTTTGACATTGAACATGTAAACAAGCTAAATAAACTACTAACATGGGCAGCATCCTGCCCACGTGCTTTTATCTTTCTTGGTGACTTCAATCTACCTCATATTAACTGGACCCTAAACGAATGTACAACTGAACCCTTCTACAATGCTGTAACAAATCTGGGACTAGTAACCAACAATACTAAGCTTAACAACTACCTTGATCTCATCTTCTGTAACAGTTTGAATACAAATTAAAGAACCCTTTTCCAACAGTGACCACAACATGATTGGCTTTTGTCTCAACATACGTCCACACAAAAATCATCACAACGACAAAATCCCCAATTATAACTTCAAAAAAGGCAACTATGACCTTATAATCAACAATCTACCTTCCCTTGATTGGCAGTTTCTATTCACTGGATACAATACTGTTGTTAGGAATGTAAGTCACCTAACAGCTATTTGGGTTCGAAATCTATAAACCAGAATAGACATTTTAATACTGTATCTTTAAGAAAACACAAAACTGTCATTGGGTGTGGTTTCTCAAACGGCCATAAGATGGAGCCAGAAACCTGGGTTGTTTAGTCTTTAGTCTTAGTCTCAGAAGACGTCTAAGTGAGTCTCTGTTTCCTTCTGTTGGAGAGTTTTGCCGTTCCTTCTAATGACTGTTATTCCTGGATTTGATGTAAGTCTGTAACTGAACTGTTTTTGACACTGGACTTTGTTATTGGATTATCCCTGGACTGAAAAACTGCCTGATTTTACCTGTGAATGACTTTGGACTGCTTGTTTGAACTTTGCTTAAACGTTATCGAAAGTAAAAACCTACATTTACTGTACAGTGTATCTGTGTGCTGTGTGTGTATTATTCAAACATCACTCTCAATACGCTCCCTGTATGCGCTCAGTCTCCTAACAGGGAATTACCTCAACAACTGTTGAAGACCATTACAACATATTCTTACTAGAAATCAAAAGACCCATCAAACTATATGTACCAATAACAAAAACCAGAAAAAACAGATTACCCATAACAATAAGGAAGCTTCAATCCAAAAAGAGATCACTTTGGCAAAAACACAAATCTGGTCAGTTGCCAACTTCAAAAGCCGATACAAAAATCTATGCCACCAGATAAAAACTGAATATACTAATTATCACATTAAACAAGAGGAAAACCTTCTACGCACAAATTCCACCCTTGCTTTCTACAATTTTGTGAACAACAAACTAAAAGACTCAAGGTCCATCCCACCCCTGAAAGGACCTAATGGCAAAGACTGCAATGACGACACCATCAAAGCAAACCCCTTTAACACATTCTTTGGCTCAGTATTTGTAAACAGCAATGGATCAAGCCCAGTACTTCCTAGTCGAACCACAGACAACTACAATGATCTAATACATATCGATTTTACAGAAGACATTGTTGAAAAAGCATTGTGCAATCTAAAACCATCTCTATCTATTGGACCAGACGGAATATGTGTCTACTTCTTATAAAAGCTATCCACTGCCATAGCCAAACCTCTAAGCATAATCTTTGAAAAACCTTTCAGGACCAGCTCCTTGCCAAAACTATGGTCACAAGCCACGGTCATCCCCATCTTCAAAAATGGAGACCACAGCCTAGTTGAAAATTACAGACCAATCTCCTTATGCTGCACCACCTGTAAAGTCATGGAATCAATTATTAATCAATCCATTATCCTCCACTTAGAGACAAACAACCTACTCTCTAATAAACAATTTGGTTTCAGAAAAAAACTATCCCGTAATCTGCAACTCTTATACTGCAAAAACATATGGACTACACAACTCGATCAGGGCAAAGCAATCTACACAGACTTCTGTAAAGCCTTTGATTCAGTGGTTCACGACAAACTACTCCTAAAACTAAAATCTTATGGTATCTCTGGACACCTACATTACTAGATAGAAGCATTCCTGTCAAACAGACAACAAATGGTCAAAACTGGGAGTGTCCTATCAAATTCTGTACCAGTCAACAGTGGTGTTCCCCGAGGCAGTGTTTTAGGACCAACTCTCTTCATACTGTACATAAATGACCTCTGTGATCATATTAAGAGCAACTGTGTTCTCTTCGCTGATGATGTAAAGCTATTCAACACCACAGACAATACTACTGCCCTCCAAAAAGACCTTGACTATGTATCAGAATGGTCAATCAAATGACAACTTCAAATCTCAACAAATAAGTGCTTTCTTACATATTGGCAAAAAATATATATCAGAAAATAAAATACAAGCTAAATAATCAAGACCTTGTTGAGGATCTAAACTTTGTCAAGGACCTTGGAGTACTCATGTCTAATGATCTAAGTGCTAGAGCCCACTGTAACTACATAGCCAAAAAGGCATTAAGAGTTGTTAATCTAATCCTTCTCTGTAATATCACACTACTAACTAGAGCATACAAAACTTTTGCTAGACCTATACTTGAATACAGCTCATTAGTCTGGAACCCATATCATGTATCTGATATTAACACAATTGAAAAAGTCCAGAAATATTTCACAAGAAGAGTTCTCTGCTCCTCTACTCATTGCAGAATACCTTATGCTACCAGACTTGAAACTCTAGACCTAGAAAACTTAGAACAATGCCGCCTTCGGTCCGATCTAAGTATAGTATATAAAATAATACATTGCAATGTCCTACCTGTCAATGAATACTTTAGCTTCAACCATAACAACACAAGAGCAAACAATAGATACAAACTCAAGGTTAATCGCACCAAACTTGATTGCAGGAAATACAACTTCAACAACAGAGTGGTCAACGTCTGGAATACTCTACCTGACTCTGTGGCTTCTTCCCTAAACCCCCAAAACTTTAACCTTAGATTGTCTACTAATGACCTCATCCCCTTCCTAAGAGGCCTGCATGGGGCATGCATAAGCGCACTAATCGTGCCTACCATCCCTGTCCTATTGTTTCTTTTTATTTTTCTTATAAGTATCAATCTCACGTATTCAAAACTATGTTTATTCTTATACCTGTATCTTGTAAGCAATTGAAAAATCAAATAAATACTAAATACTAAAATAAAATCCTCTGCTTTTGCCAGCAGGTGGCAGTAACACAAAAGAAGAAATGTATGATCTGGGTTGGTTGGAAATCTACATTTTAATTGTGCCAGAGCCAGACTGTCACTGGCTTGACAAGTATAAACTCAAGGGAGCTCAGGACTGAGCTTCTGGATTGAGACTATGGGGCAATCTCAGTGGGGAATTTATCACTACAATCCACTGTAACAAGTAATTACCCCTCAACTTTCTAAGCTCCACTTGTGATGTTCTGCAAAGGAAATAAAACCATCCAGTGGTCCATTCGGTGACTTCTTGCCTGTTTTTCCACTGTCAGCATTTATGCTGATTCAAGATGGAGGGCTTTTTCTATGGAGCAGCAGTGACTTGGCCCTGACAGCCTCAGCTAATGAGCTCTTGTTAATAGCCTGCTAGTGAGCCAATATGTTTCTCCAGGATTAGCTTCCAGAAAGTTCCTAAAATAAAAAGGGAGAAGACCTCAATATATTGTTAAATATTAGAGTTCTTAAATGGAACTGTAATTGTCCATTGTAAAAATCTTCCTTGCCAATCATTCTTTTTTTGCTGGTTAAAAACGTGTTTGGGGTGGTTAATAAAGATGTTGTCCTAATATGAATTTTGGAAGTTGGGTATTGAATTATGCAGGATGGCAGCAGATTGCAGATGGTCAACTCAGCCTTCTAGCCACCTCTTTCCCTGATCTGGTCATTGTTATATACAGATTGGAGTTCCATGAACATAACTTGGAGAGAAGAAGTCTTTAATACAGTCCTTTCTTCCTCACGTAGATATGATTTTTATTTGTTTAAATTTACCTTCATGAATCGCTTCTCTCAGCAAACAGTATGACTCACAGATCTAAAGAGCACCCATTTTGTGTATGCCTGTGTTATTGTCTAGCACAGGTGTGTCAAACTCACATCGTCACACCATTGTCACATGCTGTATTGGGACTTTTTCCCCCTTTGCTAAACCGGGCATGGGCGTGGCCAGTGCATGATAGAGGCCGGGAGTTTGATAGCCCTGGTCTAGCACATAACAGTCAAGTTACAAATCGTGAACTGGATAATGCAGTGATGGTGGCAAATCGATTTAGGACGACAACCTAAAGTTTCTTTGTAAATGGTTTCTTCTACTTATTCTGTAACATATTTTCTAGGCACGTTTATTGAGTAATCACATTTGAATCAAACAGAATCTACTCCTGTTCCAACATTAAGTTACAGTTTTATTCAAATGATTTCTTCTAATAGAATGCTAACATAATGGAGGTTTTTTCACCTCTGGGGCTGGTCAAACAGCAATTACTAGTGTCTATATCTTCACAATCCTCCTAAGCATTCTTCAAGACTACAAACTTTTTCTAATTTTGACACCTTCTAGATTTGTGGTCTTCAACCCTTAAAGTTGAAGTTGTAGTTATTGGTGAGAATTATCAGTTTTGGAGCCCACAGATCTGAATGTACATTTGAGATGTGGAGGTATCACCTGATGATGGTTGAGAGAAGAAAGGAAGTGGCTTATCTAAGGGGGAGGGAGAAAGTCCCCAGCAATTTACAGGAATACCCTTGAGAGGGAAAAGATGTCTGCCATGAAATGTCACTCCATAAATTTTTACTGAATAGAAAGTTTCCTGGGCTTTCCTATGTTTTTCCCATCAACTAATGCTTGATCCTTTAAAACAAGGAGAGAAAAGATTTAAGGAGAATTGGGAAGAATAAAAATATATACTTTCCCCATTTCTCCTGTGAAATATTTTCTATCAGCCTTGGTTACACTAAGAAAACCTCACAGCTCCCTATTTTATTATGCTTGGATTGGCAAAAAAGAAAAAAAAACTAGATTAGGATTTTACTGCAACACCTTGCAGAACATCACACTTAGTACATGTGTCTCTTAAATACTATTTGCCATCATAAAAAAACTTCAGCATTTCTGACCAGAAGTGGCAGAGAGAGGAAAAGCTTTCTAAATTCATCTTGCTCAGCTTGAAGTCAGTCATTGACAAAATCTATTTAAGTCAGATTAATATAATGGAAAAAAATTAATGTAACAGGACATTTGATCTGTGAGATAGTAAGTTTCACCTACCTTTAGGATATATGGAAGTGGCTCATCAGTGATGTGACTTGACAAGTGTCCTTGCCTCTCACCCAAGGAAACAAGCAGCATGAACCATAAATGATGTCATTGTACGTGGAGCAATGCATACACATGAATGAGAGAACTTCCATTTCAGAGATAGATTCTTGAATTGGCAAAATTAAAATTATTTTGATCAATTGGGAGAGCAAGCAACTGAACTGGCTTTATCTTCTGAAACTTGCTTTTTATCACCCAACTTCCTCTGTGCCCAAGACTGCATATTCTCAGCCATTAAAGGTGTTTTATCCTTTATAGAGTGAACAGCTTTAAAAGATATCTACTGACCTCAGTGAGAAGTTTCATATTTGAAGAGGAGTGATGGATGTCTGTAAATATGTGAACATATTGACTGATTCTATACTCAAGTGATTTATTTCACTCTGGCTTCCAAATACTGGTCAGCAGCAGCAGCAGCAGCAACAGCAACAACAGCAGCAGCTTGTGAAAAGCAGATCTCTCTTCAAACATTATACTGTTCATCCTATAGCTGGCACGCTAAGACTACATCTGCTCAATGCAGTGATCCCAGTATCCCCTTTGACCAGGTGACCTTGTGTTGCAACCCATCTCTTTCAGCTGTGCTCAACGTACAATACTTGTCTTGACTTGTATATTGCTTACCTTGTGGTGCCTCCTTTTTCTTCTGAACCTGAGTAGTTCTTTGTGCTGCCGAGACACAAAGTTAACAGCAGCATACTCTAGAAGGGCTGAGAACACAAACAGCAGGCATACAGCCATCCAGATGTCAATGGCTTTAACATAGGAGACCTGAGAGAGGAAAGCATATGCAGTTTTCTTAGTAGCGTATCATTCAAATACTTTCTACAACATCAACACAACACATCCAAATTCTCTAGCTGGCCTTACTCAAAATACACAACTCTGTCCTTGACAATCATTGCCCTTTGATGTAAACTCTCTACTGCCCTTTCCATATAATAATCACTAAGCTTCACTATGGATAGCTGAAATAGTAACCTGTTGGCTGGATTCAAATATATTGCTATGCCATAATAAGATCTATTTACTTTTGGCTTTGTTCAGAAACTCATAGGTATAAATGCTTAAAGGCTTAACATTATGTCTGGACACAGGCATTATATCTGTCATTTCATTTTCTCTGTTGACACATTTATGATTGCAGGAACTTTTGCATATATGGTCCAATTCCTTACACAATTCCTTACACATTTACACTATTGCTTCTTAACCACTTCTGTTTTTGTTGCAAATGAAAGGGGTAAAAAAAAACCCTCCTTTCCTCTGATATTGTTCTTGTATCTATCTTTAAAACCCTAAATCTCATTGGAGGAAAGTTCTGGATCTTGCCATATAATTATTGTTAGGAAGATTGAGAGCCTGCTTTGTATCTTCAAACGGTAGCTCCTGGCTGACTCTGTCTTGCTTTCAAAGCTAAGCAGACTGGACTGGGAAATTAAAAATATTGGAAGAAGCAAATGGCAAACCATTTTGCATGGTTGCTAAGGAAACTCCATGGAAATATTCATGAAGCTAACAGGAATTGTGCTTGAGTTACTTTATTTGCAGACCACTTTGGTGAAGAAATTGGGGTTCTTAGGTCAATACATTTTAAAAGACATAGAGGATGGGTGGGCAGGTTGATTTCTAAGGTGAAACTAAAATATTCAATACTATCATAAGGGAGAGAGTTCTTACAAGAGTATTATTAGAAAAGTTTTCTTAACAAGATAGTGACAGAGTAGAACAAAAATCTCATGATGTTACCTAGTCTGATAATGAAATGTCTGCAAGAAAACCATCATGGTCAGAGAGCACTAAGTATCCCACAAAACAAAAATCTATCAACTTTCAGAGATTGCTCTGATTCCCCATCTGTTCCTTCATCGAGGAAAGAACTATACACTGCTTTATAAATATTGTACATAACTTGCATCTTGCCTTTCTCCTAAAAATAATTATTAATGAGAACTTGCCAGTGAACTCAGTTGAGGAAGAAGAAACTAGTATTATAATCTGTTTAATGACTATTATTAAACTAGTAATCCTTTCTAAATAACATGATTCATGAATGCAATTGTTCTAAAAGCACAGTAATTGAATTTTATAATACAAATGAAAATGATATTTTAGTATTTATGGAGATTCACAGTCATCTAGGTCATGGTTGTCCCAAAGCTGCTTTTTCAAAAGGCAACAGGACTTTCTTGGTTATTTTGCTTGAGAATGTTGTGCTTTTCATCCATGAAGCTTCTCCAGTTCTCAGCTGAAGAAGTTTGTTGGATGAGAAGGGAAACATCTTCAAGAAAAAACAAGAAAATCCGGATGCCTTTTGATATTCTAGTATTTGAAAAAAAAAATCCAATGTTCATAAAACATAGTGATTGCATTTTCTAAATTCTAATATTCTGTATTTGCTAAAACATTTTTTCTGTTTCTCTTCCTGCTCTTACTTGCAGATAAATTGTATTTAGTAACCTCAAGGGAGCATATTTTTAACTATAGGCTTAGGAGTACAAATGAAAACAAATAAGCAACAAATTGTGCTACATCTTTCTAATACTTTTTTTTTCTGTAGTTCTACTGCATATATAAATTACAGGTTTAGAATTATGAAGAATGCTAGGATATTTCTGCTGTTTTCCTAATGACAATTGTGCAAGTAAAGCTAAATGTTAATTATTAAGGGCACTGGAATAATTCTAGATCAATTTCTAGTGAATTAAATACACATTTCAAACCATAAAAAGGAGAGATATGCCCATATGCTAGATTTGGGTAGAAGATTGGGAATTTTGATGAATATTTTCTACTTGAACTGGGAATGGTTCATCTAAGATTCTCAGTGGGGAATCTTTGCTTTCATCTCTTCCAAATCCTTTGAATTGCTGCTATAAATTTTCTGAACTTTATTCCAGCACAGAGGATTCAACACTGGCTCTTTATAAGGATGATTTGTTACCTTGGGCAAAGATGCTCGAGAACCAGAACTTTGTGTGGTCATTGTGAGCACGGTAGTGATACCCAGACCAACTCGGGCAGGTGCAGCATCCATGTTGATCCAGAAAGAGATCCAGGAAAGAATTACAATCAGCAGGCTGGGAATATACATCTGGATCAAGTAGTAACCCATCTGCCTCTCCAGATGAAAACGGGCTTCTATGCAGGTGAATTTGCCTAGGAAGTACAGGAACCTTCATTAAAAAATGAATCTTAAGGGAGACCCACCATGAACAAATTTCTTTCTTAGCATTAGATAATTCTCTTTGTGATGATCATGTTCTTCCTAAGATTGGAGACACATTTAGGACCGTGCCACACCTGAGATTTCTGTGGGGTTCATCATAACATGCTTTAGTTTTGGGAAAGATTGTTCTTTAGTAGTAGATAAGCTTTATTCTTTATTCTAAGTTCTAAGTCACTGCTCCCTCCAGGAGTTTGATTCTGACAGACTCAAGGTTGACTCAGTTCTCCATCCTTCCGAGGTCAAGGTCGGTAAAATGAGAACCAGATTGTTGGGGTCAACTCTGTAAACTGCTTAGGGAGGGCTGTAAAGCACTGTGAAATGATGTGTGCACACACACACACACACACACACACACACACACACACATCGCTTCATGAAAAAAAATAGTCTGTTCAGAAGAAAAACTAGCTCTTCGCAATGCATCAGACAGCTGTAGCAGTGCTGCATTAGAGGAATTGCTAACTCAATGGTAGAGGGCTGGTTGAAAAGACTGAATGAGAATCTGTCTTGATAATTTCCATGGAGAAATGCTTAATGTAGATCTGCCATCACTAACCTGTATTGTAATGTTTTGTGCAGTAGCGCAAGTCCTTTTCTTCCTTCAGGATGAATTGTGGCAGGGTTAATCCATCAGCAACCTGCACTGCTCCTTTCTCTTGCCACTCAAATATCAGATCATTCATTGTATAACCAACTGTGGAGGCCAAAGCAGGAAAGAAAATCAGCATGGATTAGATCAATGGGTGACAAGATTAACAACAGAAGTACAGACTAGTTTTACTAAAACCACAAGCTCCTGGTACTGTATACATAGGGATGGTAAAGCTACACTAAAATGGAAAAACTTAGCAACTCCAGTTTTTTCTATCCTCTCCTTACCCAATGTACAAGAGTATATAATATTTATTAGGCCAAAGGACACATTTGGCTTTTTAATGACATGCCAAGGGCCACAGTGCAAAGAGTTGTGCTAAGGCTTTTGGAGTCTCATGTGCCCTCATCCCCCTAGTGTTCCACAGAAGACACAAGTGGCTCAGTGTTGTGGTTAGCCAGCAGCAGGTGCAGATGGCTGAGGAGGGTGATGACTCTGATGAGGGGCCAGGACCATCAGGGAGTGGACTGCTGCCTTCAGAGTTTGTGGGGGCTGGCAGCAGTGATGAGGTTCCCAAGGAGCCTGTGCCAAGTGCACATGCACAAAGGATTACTTGGAGGAAAGAACACTTACAGCAGCACAGGAGACTCTGGAGTAAGGCTGCAAGGTAATGACCCCTCCCTCAAGAGGATAAAAGCCAGATTTGAAAAAGAGTTCTTTGCAGACAGCAAAGAAGCTGTTAGCGCAACTGGTGGACATCTTAGTTCATGAATCTTGTAAATTAGTTCTTATCTCTGGGTTTTTGGCAGCCTTGACAAACAACTTGGCAAGGCTCTTTCTTGTCGGAGATAATTGTTGGAAAGCAGCCTTTTATCTGTAAAGGAACAACATTTGTGATTAACCTTGAAAGGTGGGGGCTGCTGTCTTTTTCTGTGTTTGCTTTCTGGGAACCTGGTTGGATCAGAACACTCTGATGCTTTTTCTCCTTCCCTCCACTCTCTCTATAGTAACTGAGGGAGCTGAAAATATGATGTGGCATGTATATGAGTATCCATACTTGTTCTCATGTAGAGTGGCAACTTTTTAGAGGAGAAACTTCAAGACTCACAGCTCTCTAGTTGCATAATACATGTCTGGACATCCATAGGGAAGTTCTTAAGATCCATGGGGCAAGCCAGGGTCAAGGTTATTCTGTGAAGTGAAGAGAGAAAAGACTTATTTCTAGCCATTTCTAGCTGAGGAATAACAACCCAGTGTCAATGTTATGCTAAAATGTTTAGGCCAATCTTAGGCCTGGTGAGAAAGGTAAATATACCAATCTAGATACTAGTCTTATTATGAAAATATAGCATGTTTCCATTTCATCTTCCCTCTCGTTTCTTATGATTCTTTTATTTTTATCTGCTCTTCCATAAATAAATACTTATCAAAGTAGAATGGCCAGAATTGAAACTAGAATAATGATAGAGGGCTCTCATTCCTAGACAATTAGAAAATAGTCCCCCTGTACTAAAAAAAAAACATAGTTACTATGGCTGAAAAGGGGAAAATCAGTTTTCTACCACAAGAACACTACACTCAATTTCTAGGTGTGGCTTAATGTGTGAAAGATTTGAAGTATCACTACAAATTGTTAACACAATAGGTCCCCAATTCTTCTTCTTTCAAAAGGTGGGAGATAAATGCTGGACTAAGAGAGAAAAAAATTAGGGAGACCTACCAACACATTCTTTGCTTAAATCTTTCAGTGTGCCAACCAACACATGTCTTACTTCACTGTATACTTTTCAGATAGCATTAATATGGGAACACTTATTGATGTGTTCACTTTCACCTTTCTGAGTAAAACAATAAATGGAAGGTCACCTTTGGTGGCAGTTACTTTAATAGCTACCTCTTGTTAGTTGGAAAACATTTCAAATGACTGTATAAATTAAAGCTTTAAATTCCCCAAGCTCTGGCTATGAGTGTTATGCTGTCTGGTGTCTGGTGTTTGAATTGAAGCCGCCTCCATTTTCCTCTCTGTATTACAATGTTATTTGTTTTGTCCCTTGGGCCCAGGAGGACATTTGTGACATGAGCCAGGAGTTCCAGTGGGAATGACCCAGTGGTGGGGTTCAAAAAAATTTACTACCGGTTCTGTGGGTGTAGCATGGCTTGGTGGGCATGGCAGGGGAAGGATACTGCAAAATCCCCATTCCCTCCCCACCCCACTAATTTGCTTTCCAGCTCCGTGAGGGCAACAAAAGAAGACCCAGCTGATCAGCTGGGACTCGGGAGGCAGAGAATAGATGGGAGCAGGGCCAGTCAGAGGTGGGGTTTGCCAGTTCTTCAAACTACTCAAAATTTCTGCTACCAGTTCTCCAGAACTGGTCAGAACCTGCTGAACACCCACCTCTGGAATGACCCCTTTGCATTGTGGGATTGCACTGCCAGGCTTCAGCAAGCTGGAATATGCAAACAAAACCCAAGTTCATAAAAAAAGGGTGCCAGTACATTCTTTACTGCATGTAACAAGAAAAGTACATGTTCCTAATTGCATTCTTTCACCAAAGGACAAAGTAAGGTTTGGAGGTGGCTAGAATGGATTATTTCTAAATTAAAATGAGTCCACTTACTGCAGTTCACATATCATAAATTGGAAATCCAATGACCCAGAAATTACTGTGTTGAGAAATGATGGAGGAAAAAGCCAGATCTATCTGGTTCCATTATGTGATTTGTCATTTCTTACTTTTTAAAAAAAAAATCCTCTGAAAACAAAGGAGAGCGAGCTTGAACATCTTTTAGACTGTAATAGGCCAATGCAGGGAAGATCCATTTATACATTCTCCAACTGTGCCAGACTGGCAGAAAATTTCTATTGTATGGGGTAGAAATGGTCTTTCATCTGCCTTGCATGGCTGATTATTTTAGAGGTGCAATTTACTGAAGTGTCGGTTATAAAGCAACAGGATGTACTTGAAATTTTGTAATACTAAGGACCTAATTAATTGCACTCGATGAGTGTGACTATGGCTAAAAATCTCCAGTGCATATTTAGGGGTAAATATAATTGAACCTAGCAGGCCTTTTCTTTCTAGGTAGATAAACTAGGGTGGTTTTGTGTGTGTAAATGTAAGAAGTACCTTACAGGATCAGACCAGAGCTGATTCTATAGCTGTTTTCTTTTATAAAACCTCCTTCTGTACAGGAGTGTATAACTATATATATAAAACTCTGCCTAACTTTTAATACATATACACCACATGATTGTATTGACATGAAGGGCATTTAATTATACTGAACAATTATTGAGAAAGGATTTGGAGCTGACAAAATGGGATACCACTTTTATAAAAGAAGTAAAGAAGAATGCACTTTCAGTTTGCTTCCAAGGAGATACTCTAACTAATTAAAACTTGATAACCTAATTATCATTTGTTTATTCTACCCCTTTCCAGTTTACTTCAAAAATGAACATATTCAGTCTTTTAAAAATGGACGATGAGCCTCAAACTTGATTCCATATCTTATTTAGGATAGGATAGACTATATAGGGACACATTGGAGAAGAGCCTAATGCTGGGAACAATCGAGGGCAAAAGAAGAATGGGACGACAGAGAATTAGGTGCTTGGATGGAGTCACTGAATCAGTCTGTGTGAGCTTAAATGGACTCTGGAGGATGGTAGAGGACAGGAAGGCCTGGAGGAACATTGTCCATGGGATCACAATGGGTGGGACACGACTTCACAACAAACAACAACAAAGATTGTATAGGTAGCCCTCAACTTACAACCATTTGCTGAAGTTACAATGCCACTGAAAAAGGTGACTTATGATCACTTATCACACTTATGGCCATTGCAGCATTCCCATAGTCAGGTGATCAAAATTCAAATGTTTGACAACTGGTTCATATTTATGACAGTTACCATGTCCCAGGGCCATGTGTTCACCTTTTGTGACCTTCTGACAAGCAAAGTCAATGGGGAAGCCAGATTCACTTAACAAGCCTGTTACTAACTTAGCAACTGCAGTGATTCACTTAACAACTATGGCAAGAAAGGTCATAAAATAGGGGAAAACTCACTTAACTAATTCTCGCTTAGCAACATAAATTTGGGGCTCAGTTGTGGCTGTAAGTCGAGGAGCACCTATACATCTTATTTAGAAAAGCCAACACAGTCCTTGGCTGCATTAACAGAGGAATAGAATAAAGATCATGTGAAGTGTTAATACCACTTTATAATGCCTTAGTAAGACCACACTTGGAATACTGCATTCAGTTTTGGTCGCCATGATGTAAAAAAGATGTTGAGACTCTAGAAAAAGTGCAGAGAAGAGCAACAAAGATGATCAGGAGACTGGAGGTTAAAACATATGAATAATGGTTGCAGGAATTGGGTATGTCTAGTTTAATGAAAAAATGGACTAGGGAGACATCATAGCAGTGCTCCAATATCTCAGGGGCTGCCACAAAGAAGAGGGAGTCAAGCTATTCTCCAAAGCATCTGAGGGCAGGAGAAGAAGAAATGGGTAGAAACTAATGAAGGAGAGAAGCAATCTAGAACTAAGGAGAATTTTCCTGACAGATAGAACAATTAGTCAGTGGAACAACTTCCCTCCAGAAGTTGTGAATGTTCCAGCACTGGAAGTTTTTAAGAAGAGATTTGTTTGAAATGGTATAGGGTTTCCTGCCTGAACAGGGGGTTAGACTAGAAGACCTCCAAGGTCCCTTCCAACTCTGTTATTCTGTTATCTTCTGTTAAAAGGAAACATACCTGATACTGTATAGGACATTGCCACTTTTGGAGATCCGCAGGAGTTTATTATCTGTAGTGATCTCGTGAAAGTGAGCCCCTTTCTCATTAGCAAAGAACAGATCAGGTTTCCAGATGGAATCCAACATGGATGGGTCCAAATCTAGGGCATCATCTGGATATTCATTGTAGGCCAGCCTGGGATCATTCCATTGCTGCCGCAAGAAAATGTTCACTCTGTAATCCTGCATTGAAGAAAGAAAAGCAAAAGGATTAGTAAATGCCCAAACAAAGCTCTCTGGAAAAAAAGCCCACCATAATCCACAAAGCTCAGTGAGCATGAAGGAGAGCAAAAGACTGCTTAGGGTGAATGAGCAACCTCTTCCCTCCACACATATATTAGGTCTTCACTACTACCAATTGGATTCTGCTCTTCTTCTGCGAGTTTCCCTGCTGGTAATATTTGTCAGAAAATTATATTTATTTTTAACTCTATAGCCAAGAGGTTCATGCCAGGGTAACCAGTTGTAGCCCATAATACCTGCTTCATACAGAAATGCTCAGGCCATTCTGGGGTAAGCTAGTTCTGGGGTGCATCCATGTGAAGAAAACATTATTCAGGCCCATGTACTGATCAATCCTCCTCTTTCAAAATTGTACTAATGATACTGTGTTCAAGGTACATAATGGTGCTTGAAAGGACTACGTCACTGAATCCTTAGCATAATACACTTTGAGTACAATAATTTCTAAAGATTTCTTTGAAGTATGCCTCTTTAAATTTACTGTGTAATTCTACATCTTCCCAGAAGCTTTATGAAAAGGTTACCATTAATCCTATCTTTTCTATGGGATCGACTTTCTACAATCAAGAAAAAGGTAAGTCACTGAAGAAGGAAATGACTTGACTTGCAGAATGAATTAGTTGCCTGGCCAAAACTTCTGTAAGAAAAGATTAGCATGGTGTCAGAGTATATTCATGAACTGGAATAGAGTTTGGTAACAAAGTCACCCAATGAACAGGCATAGCAACTAAATCAGCCAATGAGGACTGTTTTGGAAACTGAAACTAGAATTAGCCTAGGCTGGAAACTGAAACTAAAAGTAGCTTAGGTGTGGCTCTATATTAAGCTATGTTGAGCTCTGAGTCTGTCTATTGAGATGAAACTGCTTCTTTCCTCTTGTTTGCCTGCTGGTCTTTGAAGATGAAAGCTAACTTGCTTGCTTGCTGAAGACTGGAGCTCTGCTCTGAACTTGCAATGTGTTTCTGTTTGAGTTTGCCCTATGTTGGAGAAATCTACAACTGGTTTGTAAAATCTACTTATGTTTATAAAGATGTTAAATGAAGCATCAGCAATCTGTGTTTATTTTTCTGGCGCTGAATTATTTCTGCAAAACTCTCAATATATGGGCAAGCACTGAGCTGTCCCATGCTTTGACAAAACTAAATTCTTCTCCTCCCAGCCAGGAGACCCTTTCTCAAAGCAGAAATGTCTCTGCTTTGCCTGAAATGAACAAATCTTTCCTCCCAAAAGTGACATTGAAAATTCTGACCCCCTCCTACACTTGTACCAAACTCAACTGGGGTCTATTTTCATGTTGGAGTTTTTCCAATTCTATTTGAAGCTGCTGCTAATCCTGACTTTTTGACTGAGTCCTCCCTCATTCTCTCTTCCACTTCTTCTTGTGAATCCCCTCTGGTGCATAAATACAGGGCAATCCAGTTCAGAGACACTGATTTGGTCAATACTATCCATCCATTTGATTAACTCACTGTTAAGAATCATTTTAGACATGATTGCTGTTTGGAAGAAGACAAGCCCATAGCCTTAAATTTTGGGAAGCTGCCTACTATAAATAAACAATATATTCTGATTAACCATGAGTCTTTGTGTTTCAGAAGAGGTCTTTTCCAGTTTTTAAAAATGACAACAACAATAAGTAGAGGTTTCAGCAGAAGACAGTATATGTAGCTCCATATGGTTTATGAAACCAATGTTTTAACTGGGAAACAGAGAGAATCCTAGTCCAAATGAAAACCAAAAACACTAGGGAATTCCTGGAAACTTGCAATCAGACAAATCAGCCATCAAATAGATACACAGAAATAAACCACATTTGCAAACCAATAAAAATAAATAATTTTTAGAAATGCTAAAAAGGAAACAAAGGATCAAATTCCACTCTCTCCCACAAATAAGTGAGGAGTGGACTTACATCAGACAATCAAGCAGAAAACAATGCTATATTCAAGGAATTATCAAGAACATATCCATCAACGCTGGTAGGGCAAGCTACTCTGTACAGACAGGGAGATGTAGGAGGCTGAGCCCGAGGGTACAGTCAAACACATTATTAGTTTGGAGTCTCTAGGCCCATGAAAAAAAAACTTAAGCCCAGCCCTCTTTGAAGTCTATTGACTCTTATCTGGCACTAATTTGCCTTGACTATTAGTAGTTCAGATTCTTGTGTATAGGTAGCATGAAATAAATTTGTAGTACTTTTGCACTCTATCCTGATTCCTGATTCCTTGCATCTGACAGGTGCAAACCCCACAGACCTAGTCAGAAAATTAAATATCTGCAAGCAAACAATCAAGGTCAGAGAGCACCAAGTAGTGGTATCAAAAACTCTGTGTACGAAATTCTTCATATAAAACCTACGTATTGCCTCTAAATCACTTTTTCTCTCTGAGGATGTACAAGCAGAACTTTAACCTACATCATATCTATAATTCAGAGGTAATATGTGTCTGAATGTTGAATGCTGGATTTTATATTCTCAAAAGAATTTGGGTGGGTCAATGCGTGGAACCAATATGTTGCATTTGTAGAAGCATTTAGACACAGCTTGTCATGGCCTCTGTGGATGAGCTCCTGTCCAAGATTTTAAAAAAATGGGGACTCCCATGTTTCCATGTGTGATGTCTGGCAGCTGAACATGATCCAGATATTGAACCACATGAGAATCTGTTAGAAAAGATCTTTTAGGAACAGAAAGTCTTGCCCTGGAATATTAGTTCCAAATTACCTCTAGTGAAGTTTGGCTGGAGATTTTGATTGGAGATTTTGATGGTATGTGCAAAACAACACACCTGGGTACAAATGTGTGAATGCTTTGGTATATTACTGCCTGCAAATTGTTACTCTGTTTGCCTGGATTTGATTTGTGGCTGGCTATACTTTGTGTTTGTAGGCTGAACTTAATTACCAGCAGCATAGCTTCCTGCATTATGCTTACTCATATTGCTTTTTCTGGTTGTCAGTTGAACAGCTACTGCGGCCATCTACGTATGTCTCCTCTCTACCTATCTCTTTGTTTGCCAGTATAATCTAGATCCAAGCCTAATTTAGCTGTTTAAAGTAACAAATCGAGGCAAATTGAGTGACATTTGGATGACACAAGAGTCATAACTTCTGCTTAGTCACAAAGATGCCTGATAAGCCCATCTGGTCATCCCCCTTTGTTCCATGGCAATGCCTCCCTAATGACTGCCATTGGTTTGTTTCAGAGGCTACTAAATAGCTCACTAGTTTATGGGGTTCCTCCATCCAACTGCAAAACCAGACAGTGCTGCAAATTTTATAGGCTTGTTCCATAATTTAATTGGCGCTTGTCTCACCAACTCTGCCGAGAATGGTGTCTGCTGCTTAATCTCATGTCTTTACAACTCCCTTGAGCGTCTCCAAGCTAGGTGAAGCCAAAACCTTTTATCCTGGACAATGGGTGGCATCTTTGGCTTCCTTTGTCTGCCCAGGGACTCTTTTCTGCCATCTGTCCCTTTCCTCCTCGGCCTCAGAGGAGAAAAGAAGCAGGTGGTCTTTAATAAACAAAAGAAGCAATAAAATTTCACAGTTCCTTCCTTCATTTGCATTTTTGATTTTGGGTTTGAGGAATACCAGATCATAAACTATTTTCACTGCCCTTGACCAAATTAATTGTTAGGGTTAGGATGCGTGTGTTTTATTTAGTACATCTCTTCTTTGGAAGGACCTGAGACAGTGAGTCAGAACCTGATGATAAAGGAAAGATGTATACTGAAACAATGATATGTGTGCTCATTGCTAACTAATATAGAGCCTGCTGACTCTTTTCTTTGTCTTTATGTAAGTCAATGGGCCTTAGAATTACTGTCTATTTGGGAAACATTTAAGTTTAGTTTGCGGAGTACTAAATTAGATTGGGAAAAGGATCTTGTGACTGCTTAAGAAAAAGATTCTCTAAGGCAGATTTGGAAATGTATCCAAATTCTGAAAACAAGGAAAGGATGATGATGAGATTATGGGCATGAGAATTAGCTTTAGAGATTTTCAGAATCAGTTTGTTTCTCATTTGGCAGTTATCTAGTAATTGCAATAACAAGAGATACAATACTGAACAAAGATGCTTCTAATACAAACTAAGCTATGACATTTTCCCTTCAGGTTAAGCTCAGAAGTGAAATACCTGTACAGATATACAATACACAACCCTCATATATTTTAAAAAGAATGGACCCTTTTGAAGAAATGTGGATCTACATTGATACAGAAGGCATTGTACAAAGGTTCTTGTTTGTGGAAAGTATATTTGAAATGTAACTAGCAAATAATTTCATATTTAGTGTATCTGGCATTTATGATAAAGTTCAGAGGTCTCATTTCATTCTGAACAATTTTGCAGTCCTGGTGGCACTGCCTAATTTCTTCCTACTGATGGCTCCTCACCTCCAGTTGAATGGGCATGAAGAAAATTATACTCTTTGCTATTTACAAGGAGTAAGGAGTGAGTATAAACTCACATTTCCAAGTTCCAGTTGATTAGCCGTTTCTTCTTCCTAAAAGTATGATGTCTCTCAGAAAATGGTTCAATTGCTGAAGGCAGCTAATAATGTGATCAACTTTATATACAACTAATCAGTTGCAGAGGTTAGAAGTCAGTATAGAAAGATACGGGAAAACCTGGAAAAGGTAAACGGATCCTGAATCTCTGCCAACAGCAGCTACCTGAACAAATCAAATAAATGGATCTCTCACCCTCCCTTTTTTTGCTTGTGAAAATCAGTGATGGCTGCAGTCAGTGAAAATCAATGTAATTGATCTAATGGCCTGAAAACAAAATAGTATTTTGCTTATTTAATTATAATTGCTAAGATCTGGCAGGTCAGTTCTGTTCTTGTGCTGATTTCATGGGAGACATGAAATAAATGTATATTATAAAAATGATGCCAGGACACAGTGATGAACACAGGGCTGTTCCATCTAGC